GGGTACATAGTAGCATGTCAGAGCGTCAGCAGGTCAACAAGTCAGAACTCCGGAACGTGGGTATCGCGGGGGTGAGGCCCCGCGGGACGGGGCAGAAATTGTTTTGCTTGCGGCGTGGCAACGTGCAGGATGCAGATTCTTTGGAGCAAGACATGGGAGACTCCGACCAGCGCGCAGTTCGGCAACCGGCGAAGACGGCGCAGAAGGATCACACCCAGAGCGTCGGAGAAGCTCAAACTCGAGAGCTTGGCCGTCGAGGTCTCAGGCTTGATCTGAGAGACGACAGAACGCGAGTTGCAGGATGCATAGCAAGGTCGCAGATCGCGGGTCGCAAGTCGCCGCGGAACCTCAACCGCTGTCCAAGGCCCCCAAGGCCCCCAGCAAGACATCCCAGTCTGTGGTTGCGGGCGGGCTTGATAAGGCTAGCAGCGCCATGTGGCCGACCCCATGATAAGAAGCCAGCCGCCCACTGGTGTGACCAGGGCCCTGATGGTGTACGGGTGTGCCGCGGCCTGGCCGTTGGTTGCTTTGGAAGGGGGGAGGCTCGGACGGGGGGACCGGCCGTGGTGCTGGTCGGTCACTGCTGTGTTCGGCGGATTCCGCCCCTGGGACCTGCTCGGTGAGACAGGAGGTAGAGGGCACCAGGGGTGAGTGGAACGTGGGATGGTAGGGAGGCCTCGATGGTAGGTGATGGGGCTCGCGAAGTCGGACGCTGGACGCTGGACCGGACATGGGCGATATGATGATGCCGATCACGACGGGCGCTTTGTACTAGCCCGGTGTCATTGCCAGGTGTCTTGCATTGGCCAGATAATGATTATGGGCCGGCGGCCACATGAGCTGAAAAGCAGACAAAACTTTCGACGCAGGCGTCCCGGCGGTTCCGATGGTTGACGATGAAGTTCATCAAGTAGCTGGTGATGGGTGAGGAGGAGGAGGAGGAGGAGGAGGAGGAGGAGGAGGAGGAGGAGGCCAAGAGGCAGAAGAGGTGAGGCAAGAAGGATGTCAACAGCAGTTGCTGTGCATTCGAGCTTGAGCCCCCACGCCACAATGCTACAGCAGGTGCCTTCCTGCCTTCCTGCCTTCCTACCTATCTGCCTCTACCTGCCAGCCTGCCTGTGCGTGGTAACAACAGTTTGCCACTGGCAGCCTCAGTTTACAGATGGCAAGATTGCCCATGAGAAACCCTCCCCGGTCATCACAAGCCAAAAGCAATGGTCATAAACAAGGTCATTGAATGTGCAGATTTTCTCCAGATGAGAGCTTCAGGCTTCAGCTGTCATGCGCCCCGGGCCGAGACCTGTTGCTAATCCAAGGGTATCATTGTCCATCTAGGAAGCCTCTAGGAAGCCTCTCCCCCTCGGCCACCCCCCCGCTCCGTTTCTCTTTACAGCCTCAGCTAGGCTCTACAGGTCAGGGAACGAATAGTCCGGCTGCTTCTTGGGCGTCTGCTTTCTCCGCTTGCCGCGCTTCTTCTTCGGCGCATCCGAGTCATCGCTGTCCTCCTCGCCGCTGCTCGCTCCCCTCTTGCCGTTCTCGTTCGTGTCGTCGTCGTCGCTGTCACCGTCGTCGTCGTCGTCGTCATCCTCACCATCGCTGCCACCTCCCTGCAGCTCGGCGAGCTCCTGCCAGACCTTGACCGTCCGGCCGCCGGCGCTGATGAGCCGGTTGTAGCAGTCAAAGCCAACAAAGACGGCGCCCTCGAGGTCGTCGTGGCGAAGCACAGACCCAGGCTCGGCGTCGACCTTTCTCTTGACAATGTCCACGACGCGCAGCGTGCCGTCGGCGACGCCAACAATGAGCTTCTTGCCCCACCCCAGCTCGGCGGGCACGAGCGCCATGCACTCGAGGCTCTCGCCGCCGCCCCGCGCATTGTCGACATGATGCGCTCCTGCTGATCGTCCGGGGCGCCGCGGTCCCACAGCGTGATGACGCCCGACCCGGACCCGACGGCCACCATGCCGTTGTTCCTGTTCTTCCGGGGCCCGACGCCCGGCACGAACGCCGCGCACATGAGCTCGTCCTCCTGGTCCTCCGACCGCGACAGCACGCCCCGGCGCCAGTCCGACGCCGCGAGCGTCGTGCCGCCCGTCGACACCCACTGCTTGGGCACGCCCGACGTGCTGTCCTTGGTCGGCGGCAGCGCGACCACGGCGCTGACGTAGTCCTCGTGCGGCCGGTGCGTCGCGTGCGGCTGCCCCGCCGCCACGCCGTCCTTGATGTCGATGAGGTACACGGCGCCCGAGTCGCAGCCCAGCAGCAGGCTCTGCGGGTTCAGCGCGTGCAGCGTGCTGGGGCCGTCGGGGCCGTTCTTGCGGCTGGGGATCACCGTCTTAGAGAGCACCTTGCCGTCTTCGGGCGAGAAGTGCTTGACCAGGCCGTCGGTGCCTGCGGAGAACATGGCTGCCACCCGTCAGTATTCGTTCTTGCAGCACCTTTGTAGTGAAGAAGTAAAAACGTACAAGATCCGTCGTAGCTGTAGGCCAGCGTCCTGCAGCTTCCCTTGTGCCGCCTCGTCGACCAGACCGATTCGATCATGCCCTTGCCCGTCTCGGCGGGGCCGGCCCTCTTGGTCTTGGATTCGCCCGCGTCGCTCGAGTCGTCGGCGTCGTCGTCGCTGCCGGCAACGGCGGGCAGGCGGAAGGTCTCGACACGACCATTGGACAGGCCAACGGACAGCAGCGGTTTCGTGGGGTGCAGCGCGGCCGTGAAGACGTCGGCCGTCAGCGGCAGGGTGCAAAGGTTTTCGAGCATCTTGTCGGTCGAGCGGCGCCAATGGAGGGGCACACAGCCTAAACGTAGATTCTCAATTCGAAGAAGGGAAGAGTATAGCTGCGAACTGCACACTCAGACTTGATTGACGCTCTCAATTGAGATGGGAAGGATGGCAAAGTTTCCAAGAGCAGCAAGCCTCGGATCGGTTGAAACAAATTTCGGTGTGGATAAGATAAGCAATCGACCCGCCTTCTCACCGGCCACAGCAGCGGAAGGGTGGCTTGGCCGAACCCGACACCGAACGGCCTGGAGCTACCCCGCCAGCGGCCGCCACGCTACGGAAGGCAGGCAGTAGCAATGACGGCAGTGACGATGCGGGGTTCAGACCCCTACAATGGGTGGCTGCCGCCATTGATAGTAGGTGGAAGCCTCGCGTGAAGCTCGCGGTTTGGTGGTTCACTTATTCGATTCAACCTACATCAACACAACACAATGGGCCCGTTACGACTCATTTTCGCAGGCCTTCAGCTGGTCATCATGGCCGCAGCCAGCACATCCCATTCGCCAGAGCGCTGCATCATGTATTTGACTGGGTATGTGTCTCTGTCCATTTCCTAGGAATGGCTTGATTCGGTGGAATTCTGTGCTCACTTCTGCCCAGCCAACACGATGTCGTCCCCAGCAAGGATCTCCTGACTGAAGTCACGCATGTCGCATTGGCCTTTATGCGCTCTGAAGTCTTCAATGCCCAAGACGTACCGACCGAGTGGCCGCTCTTTACCACTGTCGACAAGGCGCGGTCTCAGTTCCTCCCAGGCACCAAGATCATGGTCGCCATCGGCGGGTGGGGCGACACGGCCGGCTTTGAGGAGGCGGCCATTGATGAGCGGTCCAGGAAGCGCTGGGCGCGCAACGTGGCTGCCATGGTCGAGGCAACCGGTGCAGACGGTGGGGTTCCCCAAGTTCTGAATGGGACTACAAGACACGCGGGCTAACACTTCATAGGCGTCGATGTTGATTGGGAGTACCCAGGGTCTGTCCTCCGAGCATACTGTGTTCCGTCATTCCTATACTGACAGTCGGCAGCGGCAATGGCGAAGACTACAAGCAGGTGCCCAACTCGGACAAGGAATGGCAGATCGAAGCGTTCCCTCTCCTTCTCGAAGAACTTCGCAACGCCCTCGGCACACATCAGCTCATCTCCGCGGCCGTGCCGGGACTCGAGCGCGACCTCATGGCCTTCACACCCACGACGACACCCCGCATCGCGGAGCTGCTCGACTTTATCAACGTCATGACGTATGACCTGATGAACCGCCGAGACACCGTTACGAAACACCACACTGGAGTCAGGCTGTCGTTGGCCGCCATTGACGCATACATGGCCCGCGGTGCGCCGGCCGAGAAACTCAACCTGGGATTCGCCTTCTACGTAAAGTGGTTCAAGACAACGCCGTGTGCGGACCCTGAGAACACGGTCGGATGCCCCACGCTGCTGCTCGAGGATCCGGAGACGGGCGCTGACCTCGGTCGAACCGGCGGGTTCAGCTGGCATGATGCCATTCCGGAGGGCGAGGCCTCGTCTTTCGAGAGGGCGAAGCGGCTGGGCCAATACGACGACAAGGACGGCGGCTACCACTACTGGGACGAGGCCGAGGCTCGCTGGTGGACATTTGACGATCGGGACGCCATCCTGCGCAAGTTCCCGCTGATTGTCGACCAGCGGCGTCTCGGCGGCGTGTTTGCGTGGGGGCTCGGGGAAGATGCGCCCGGGTTCGAGCATCTCGACGCCGTCAACGAGGGGCTCCGGCACTCGCGAAGGGAGACGCAGTTTCACGGTGAGTTGTGACCAGCCGGCAGACGGCGCGCATAGACACGATGCTGAATGACGAGGAATAAAGCATCCGAGTCAGCTTGAGGTTGAGCATGTTCTCTTTTTACTGATTCTTTGGTATCATGTGCTATGTACTTCTACCGCATCTTCGTTCCAAATGACATTGGCCGTCTACTGCGTCGTGACATTAACCGTGTACCTCGTCGGACAACCGTGTACCTCGTCGTGACAACCGTGTACCTCGTCGTGACAACCGTGTACCTCGTCGTGACAACCGTCCACCGCGTCGTGACATCAACCGTGTACCTCGTACGTCATGCTACGCTCGCTCAGAACAGACCAAGGCAGTTGGCATAGTACGTCACGGTGGCGCTCCAGTCGGAGAAGACACCCAGGACGCCGATGTCCTTGGCGAGGACGTGCAGCAGCTCAAAGACGTCGCCGTCGGTCTGGATGGCGTCGGCAATGGTGGTGTAGTAGTAGCCGCCCTTGGTGCCGTCGCTCAGGACGCCACTGCGCTCGAGCGACCAGGTGATGATCTCGAGCCCGAGCTCGTTGGCCCTGGTGGCGTAGGCGCTCGGCACGATCCTGCCGCCGTCGTCGAGGGTGACGAGGTACGGCAGCGGCGGCGCGACGATCCTGACGCCGTCGGCCTTGTAGGTGGTCAGGTTGGCGACGGCGTCGGGGAACGTGGCGGCCGTCTCGCCGTTCTCGTCGAGGTAGACGGCCTGCGCGCCGAACGCGGGCTCGTTGTCGAGCCAGTAGAGAATGTCCGGGTAGTGGAACGACTGGGGCCAGACGCGGCGCGGGTCGATGCCGGCCTGCCTGTACTCGTCGATGAGCTGCTGGGCGTAGGCCGCCTGCGTATAGTCGCCGTCAAAGGCATGGCGAC